CCTTTCAGGTTTCTCAAAATCATTTTTAACATTTATTTCTAACACAGTTGTAATTAAAATGGCCTGCTAGAGATACTTCTGTGCTGTGTTTTTTTATTATTTTCCATCTGTTCACTTATCATATAATTCCATAGTATTGCCCATATGTTTTTAATAAAAAATAAAATGCATTAAAGGAATGGGGGAGATTATTTGAGAGTCTAAGTAGGCAGGTTAAGTGTTTGGGGGTTCTCATGAACCCTGCCTTGCTGTTTGAAAAGCAGGTTGGCATGGTGTCCAGGAGCATCTTCTATCTGCTGCATCTGATTTGCCAACTTTCTCATTACCTAGACTCAGCTGATTTGACCATGCTAATCCATGCTTCTGTAATATCACAGCTGGATTACTGCAATGTACTCTACATGAGGCTGCCCTTGAAAATGACTGGAAAATGCAGCTGGTCCAGAATGTGCCAGCCAAACTGCTATCAGGGACTAGCTGCAGGGAACTCATGTTGCCCATTTTGAAACAGCTGTATTGGCTGCCAGACTGTTTCTGAGTTCAGTTCAAGGTGCTGGTTATGACATTCGAGTCCTTCATGATGTAGGAGCCACATGTTTTAAGGACTGTCTCTTTCCATGTGTCCCTGAGTGCCAACTATCATAATTAGGCAGCCATCAGTTGGCTATCCTACCGCTTAAGATGGCCCGTCTGGCATCATGGCCCAACAAAAAGCTCTCCACCTGTCATACCTCATTTAGTTTTCATTGTGAGAGAATAGAGAAGAGGAGAATAATGTTCTAAGCTGTTTCATTCCCCAACTGGGGAGAAAAGCAGGTTATAAATAAATGAATAAATGCAAATGCATGCACTGGAAATGGGCCAGTGCTGAAGGCTACCATGCAGCTCGCCCTGGCCCTGTGCTAGTGGACACCATACAGCTCCACCAGAGTTTCTCCAGGAATGGGCTGTCAGGGGTAGGGAAGGAGGGAAAGCTAAAGACATGAGGGCAGATGAATGTAGGTTGGCTGGTAGGTGGAAAGGAGGAAAGGAAGTGGCAGAATGAGAAGGGAAAGAAATAGCAAATATATAGGGGAAAATGAGATGCCCCCTGCAAGTCCTACTGGGTTCCCCACTTGTATTACCATATTTCTGTGCCTTTCTAAATAACAATTTCTGGATCATTTTAATAATTATTGTGGTTTGTTATTGTTTACATTTTGCTTATATTGCTAATAGGAAAAAATTATTTAATTCTAGTTTGGTACACATCCTATAGAAGACCTCTTCAATGATTTTTGTGATGGACGAAGACTTTTGGAGCTCCTGGAAGGTCTTACTGGCCAAAAACTTGTATGTATAATTCCCCCCCCCCCGAAAATATCCCATCAGTCCTGCATGCCTGCACTGCTTCTAATCATATTTGACCTTGGAAATGCAGCAATTAGATTACAAAATAAGTATTCATGAACCTCCTGTTCTAAAATTCCTTTTTGCCTTTAGATTGTGTTTTTGCATAGCACCTAAAGTTTGAACTGATTACTAAAATTTCCATAGATTTATGGACCTGGACATGTCATGAAGGTCATCTAATGCAATCTATTCTAACAAAGCAACAGCCTGTGACACCTTGCTAATCTATTTGTTATGTGATGTAAATAAACTTTTCCTTCCAGAGGCCTGGCTACAACATAATGTGAGTTGGTGCAGCATCAGTAAGAGCCAGGAAGTTAGAGTTTTTGGTTTGTGGGAGTTTGGTGTAGTGGTTAAGTGTGTGAACTCTAATCTGGGAGAACCGGGTTTGATTCCCCACTCCTCCACTTGCACCTGCTGATGTGACCTTGGGTCAGTCGCAAGCTCTGGCACAGCTGTTCCTGAGAGAGCAGTTTGTGTCAGAGTTCTCTCAGCCCCACCCACCTCACAGGGTGTCTGTTGTGGGGAGGGGAAGGGAAAGGAGTTTGTAAGCCGCTCTGAGACTCCAAGTGCCGGTGGCGGAGGTTAGGAGTTTGGGGGTGCTCCTGGACTCCATGTTAACTATGGAAGCCCAGGTAGCAGCCACTGCCAAGTCGGCATTCTCCATTTGGGCAAATTGATAGAGAGGGCGGTGGCGACACAGCTGCAGGCATTTCTGGATGACGCTTCTGTCCTCGATCCCCACCAGTCCGGGTTTCGTCCGGGTCACGGGGTGGAGACTGTACTGGTCGCACTGACTGACGACCTCCCTAGGCACCTGGATCGAGGCGGAGTGGCGGCACTGTTGTTGTTAGATCTGTCGGCCGCGTTTGATACGGTCGACCACCAGTTGCTGGCCCGCCGCCTCGCCGACGTGGGGATTCAGGGGCCTGCCCTTCAATGGCTGGTCTCTTTTCTCCAAGGTCGGGGACAGAGGGTGGCGATAGGGGATCAGCGCTCCCGGAGGTGGCCCCTCGAGTGTGGGGTTCCTCAGGGGGCAGTGCTATCCCCGATGTTGTTTAATATCTACATGCGCCCCCTCGCCCAGATTGCCCGGAGCTGCGGGCTGGGATGTCACCAGTATGCGGATGACACCCAGCTGTATCTGATGCTGGGCGGCCAGTCGGATTCCACTCCCGATGACCTTAGTCGGGCGTTACAGGCCGTGGCTGGGTGGCTCAGACTGAGTCGGCTGAAATTAAACCCGGCAAAGACGGAGGTCCTGGGGCTGGGTCGGACCGGTCCGGGGTTAGGGCTCCCGCTCCCGACCTTCGACGGGGCGCCATTGGTGCCGGAGGTTAGGAGTTTGGGGGTGCTCCTGGACTCCATGTTAACTATGGAAGCCCAGGTAGCAGCCACTGCCAAGGCGGCATTCTACCATCTTCAGCTGGTGCGGCAGTTGGTCCCCTTCCTCGGCCGGGATGACCTAGCCACAGTGATCCATGCGACGGTCACCTCGAGGCTAGACTACTGTAACGCTCTCTACATGGGGCTGCCTTTGTCGCAAATTCGGAAGCTGCAACTAGTGCAGAATGCTGCAGCCAGGCTGCTGATGGATCTTCCTAGACGAGATCACATCCAGCCTGTGCTGAAAGCGCTGCACTGGTTGCCAATAGCTTACCGGGTTCGCTTCAAAGTGCTGGTCGTTACCTTTAAAGCCCTATATGGCCAGGGACCAGCCTACCTAAGGGACCGCCTTGCCCCACATGTTCCCCCAAGGGCACTACGGTCAGGGACTCAACATCTACTGGCTGTTCCAGGTCCCCGTTCTATTAGACTCAGCATGACCAGGAACAGGGCGTTCTCGGTGGCGGCTCCTATCTGGTGGAATGAGCTCCCAGAGGAGATCAGGGCTCTGCGGGACCTAGCACAGTCCCGCAGGGCCTGCAAGACGGAGCTCTTCCGCCAGGCTTTTGAATAGGAGCCGCCACCACTAGTCCACCACTAGTCCACCAGCAGTCCATCATTAGTGCACTAGTGCACCACCATCGCACTAGCTACCATCTATCCCCCATATATGGACATCAAGATGGGGCATGCACATCTAGTTGCTGCATTATGGGCGAGAACGGGATGGTCAGGGACAGTCATCTTGCTTTTAGAAATTTTAGAATTTGTACAGATTGTATAATTTGCTAGGCATCAAAATCTGTTTTAAATAGGGTTGTAATTTAATATTTTGTATTGTTTTATGGTTTTATCTGGCAATATGCCCTGTAAACCGCCCTGAGCCTCCGGGGAGGGCGGGATAAAAATGTGAATAATAAATAAATAAATATAAATAAGTGAAGGGCGGGGTATAAATCCAATCTCTTCTTCTTCTTTGAAAGGGAAATTCACATTACAAGTTCATATTTTGTGTACCATCGTTATTTATTTTATTTATTTATATTTATTTATTTTATTCAACTTATACCCCACCCTCCCCGCATAGCATACTCAGGGCAGGTTACATCAGTTTTGATAAAAATTCAATATACAAAAATTAACACAATTAAGACAACAATTAAAATACAGCACTATCCTTTATCCAGTGGAGTTGTCATTAAAATTAAGGCCTCACAGATGCCATCTCTGGTGTGCAGTTCTGACCCACTGAGGGGAGGCCCACTAAGAAAGGAGGGACATCCGTCGCCCTAGTTAAAAGCCTGGTGAAAGAGCTCCATCTTGCAGGCCCTGTGGAACTGTTAAAGGTCCCACGGGGTCCTGATCTTGTATGGGAGCTCATTCTGTCAGGTTTGCATATGCCAGATATGGCAAAGAGAAAAAGAGGTGAAGACGGGACTTCTACCTAAATTGAAAAGTTTACCAGTTGGTATCATGTGGCCAATAAAAGTGTAAAGTGGGATGCCCCCCTCCCCCATTCAGATTCTACCTCAAATATGAAACATTGTGTGGCATTAGCTTCTTCTCTATGCTTTCTAATAATGATGATTATCTTCTTTAATGTAAGGGTTACTAAAAATGTCCTTGTTGACTACTCTAAAACAGTATATAAATATTCAGTATTATTATTCATATCATAAACAAACTTCCATATACAACCTGTACTTTTCTCAGGGCTGCCTTTATTTCAAGAGTCTCATGGAAGAATGCCATAGATATAAATATTTATTTAGTAAAGTGGACATTTAGACTCCGTCATATTTACAAAGATAGTTCTGTAGCTATATTTAACTTGTGTAAATAGAGATGTTCATAGTCTTAATACACAGTGTTTTCTTGGTTTTTATCACTGGTAATTGCCAAATATTTTCACAGGGAAAAGAAAAGGGTTCTACAAGAGTTCATGCCTTGAATAATGTCAATAAAGCACTACAAGTTCTGCAGAAAAACAATGTAAGTAACACTTTGCATTGGTGCATAATGTAGGCAGATGGCTTAAATCCTGTTTCTTGGATAAGTCAATAGCTAAGAATCCATCAGTATGATCCTTGGAAGACCAAAGTGCAACTTCCACATCTGCCAGATTATTGTTAAACAAGCTATGTCGTGGTTCCCATAAGTAAAACTGTTTTGCTTATACAAGCCATAATGTATTAATTTTCTCTATGACTACATATTTTACTGAGGTAAATGTTGGTGAGAATGTAAGAACCATGACATGCACTGTGTCAAAATCCCACAGAATTCTTTAGCTATCTTGCTGCTATTCCATGCATAATGTTGTGAGTAAACTTTCCATTTTATTTAGCCAAGCATCCTCCTTGACCAATAATTTTGCTACACCATTTGGTAGCTGTTTAATTATATAATATCTTTTCCTCTGCGATGAAATTAAAAAACATCATAACTTTCTCTTAGATATAATAGGAGGCTATTATAAACCAGCTATTATATTAACAGTAGCCCAATGGATTGGATGTTCAAATGTACACAGTATTTCACTCAGGTTTCCCCCCCCCCCCATATGGATCAGAGTCTGAGTAGTTTTAAATGCAAAGAATGAGTTATTAACAAGAATATTCATGTGAGATGATTAGAAAGTGTTATTGATGCAACAAACATGAAATTAAGCAGAGGACAATGGAGGACGGGAGAGCCTGGCGTGATGTGGTCCATGGGGTCACAAAGAGTTGGACTCAAAATGTGTGACTGAACAACAAAAATATCCCATATAGGTTAATGCAATTCTTTCTCACAGTATATGGACACATTCTGGTATAAGTTGCATTGGTATAAGGTAGTGATTAAACGAACAAATGGTATCTTGAGAGGCTTCTGGCTCAAATCTGCCTCTGCCATTCTCTTTCAGGCTCCTAGCCTGAAGCCATTCTCTTTCAGGCCACCACCAGCAATAAGAAGAACCAATGATCCATCTAGTCCAGCATCCTGTATCACATTGTGGGCCAACCAGTTCCTCTGGAGGTCCAACAACAGGACATAGAGGCCAGTGCCTTCCCCTGATGTTGCCCCCAGCTTTACTGCCTCTGAATATGGTGGTTCTCTTTAGTCATGGCTAGTGGCCACGGATAGACCTATCCTCCATTAATTAGTCTAATCTGAGAGCCAGCATGGTGTAGTAGTTAAGATAGGCAGAGTCGAATCTGGAGAACTAGGTTTGATTCCCCACTCCTCCACACACAGCCAGCTGAGTGACCCTGGGTCAGTCACAGTTCTCTCAGACCTCTCTCAGCCCCACCTACCTCACAAGGTGGCCATTGTGGGGAGAGGAAAAGAATGCGATTGTAAGCGGTGTTGGGACTCCTTAATGTAGAGAAAAGTAGGGTATAAAAACCTACTGTTCTAGTCCCCTTTTAAAATTGTCTATTTCTGTGGCCATCAGTATGCCGTCTGGCAGATAATTCCACATTTTGATCACTCATTGTATAAAGTATTTTCTTTTGTCTTTCCTGAATCCACTACCCATTAGCTTCATTGGATGCCCTAGAGTTCTAATATTTTAGGAGAGGGAGAAAATGTTCACTCTTTCCACCCTATATAGAATTTTATAAACCTTTATCTGTTCCTTCTTAGCAATTTCATTGATAAGTTCAGAAGTCCCAGACTCCTTAGCCTTTCCTCATACAAAAGGTGCTCCAACCCTATAATCATCTTGGTTGACCTTTTCTGAACCTTTCCCAGCTCTGCAATGTCTTTTTTGAGATATGCTGACCAGCACTGCACACAGTATTTCAAAAGGGGCTACACAATAGATATATGGGGGTGGAAAGTGATGCCAAGTCACAGCCAATCATTGCAAACAGTCATTTTAAAACAATGCAAACAATAATATTAAAACAATGCAGTACAGATAAGATCATAAAATCATAAGGTGCTAGTGCTTATACAGTTCATTTCATTTCATTACATTACATGCGCTGGCATACTAGAGATGTCTACTGCTGATAGATTCCGGCTCAGTGTCGTCCTGAGTCGCTCGATGGAATGAGACAGATGTTAAAGCTGAGGGCCAGGCTCATTGATGGTAATAGCAGGGGCAGCTCCTAGTTGTAGGCCTGGTGGAAGAGCTCCGTCTTGCAGGACCTGCGGAACTGCAAGAGATCCCACAGGGCCCTGATCTCTTCTGGGAGCTTGTTCCACCAGTAAGGAGCCACCACTGAAAAGGCCCTGGCCCTAGTCACTGCGAGCCTGGCATCCTTGGGGCCCGGAAGGGCCAATCAGTTCTGTGACCCTGACCACAGTGCTCTCTGGGGTATGTATGGGGAAAGGTGGTCCCTCAGGTATGTCGGACCTTGGCCATATAGGGCCTTAAAGGTAAGCACCAGCACCTTGAAGCAAATTCGGTATGCTATTAGCAGCCAGTGCAGGGCCTTCAGCATAGGCTGGATGTGCTCCCATCTAGGTAAGCCCATCAACAGCCTGGCTGTGGCATTCTGCACTAGCTGCAGCTTCCAAATTTGCGACAAGAGCAGCCCCATGTAGAGAGTGTTACAGTAGTCTAGTCTTGAGGTGACCATTGCAGGATCAGTGTGGCCAGGTTCTTGCAGTCGAGGAAGGAAACCAATTGCCTAATCAGCCAAAGATGGTAAAAGACCGACTTAGCAGTGGTTGCTACCTGGACCTCCATTGTTAGGGAGAAATCCAGGAGCACTCCCAAACTCCTAACCTCCTGCGCTGGCACCAATGGTACCCCATCGAAGGTCGAGAGAGGGGTCTCCACCTGCACACCACCCTGAACAGGACCTTCATCTTCGCTGGATTCAATTTCAGCCAACTCAGCCTGAGCCAACCAGCAGGGCCTGTAATGCCCGGTCCAGACTTCAGGGCTGGAGTTTGACCGGCCGCCCAACATCAGATAGAGCTGGGTGTCTTTAGCGTACTGGTGACATCCCAGCTCATACCTCCGGGCTATCTGGGCAAGGGGGCACATATAGATGTTAAATAGCATTGGGGAGAGCACTGCCCCTTGAGGCACTCCGCACTCCAGCAGGTGCCTCCTGGACTGCTGCTCCCCAAGTGCCACCCTTTGTCCCTGACCATGGAAAAAGGAAGCAAGCCATTGCAGGGCAAGCCCCTGAATTCTCATGTCGGCTAGGTGGTGAAGCAGCAACTGATGGTTGACCATGTCGAACACAGCCAACAGGTCCAAAAACAACAGTACTGCCGAACTGCCCCAATCCAGATGCCTCCAGAGATCGTCAGTCAGAGCGACCAGAGCCATCTCCATCCCATGTCCCTGGTGAAAGCCAGACTGGAAGGGATCTAACATGGAAGTGTCATCCATAAAGCCCTGTAACTGTATTGCCACCGCCCTCTCAATTAATTTACCCAAATAGGGCAAATTGGAGACTGGCCGGTAATTAGTCAATTCGGCCAGGTCCAGAGATGGTTTTTTAAGGAACGAACGGACCATCGCTTCCTTGAGTGCCCCCGGGAACAGCCCCTCTGAGAGGGACTTGTAGATAATTTCCCTTAGAGCACCTCAGAACCCCTCGTGGCCCGCTTCAATGACCCAGGAAGGGCACGGATCAAGGATGCATGTGGTTGGACATACAGTCAAGAGCAATCTGTCAACTTCCTCCAGGCTGAGTGGGCCAAAATTATCCAAAACCGAAACTGAAGACATGCTTGGGGCCTCGAGCTCTCTCACTGTTTGAATTGTGACAAGACTTTATCTGTGAAATTGCTTGCAAATGCCTCACAGCCAATGTCCAATTCCCTAATGTTTGGTCTGCCCTGTGGCAGAGCTGTTATAGACCGGATTGTTCTAAACAGTTGGGCTGGGTGTGAGCCCGCGGATGCAATCGTAGCTGTGTAGTACCAACTTGTGTGACTCATCCAGGACTGGCTGCTTGCTACTGTTCAACAGCAGTCACCTCACAAAATCCAGTATGAAGTAGTGGTTAGAATTTAAGACTAAGATCTGGGAGACCCAGGTTTCAATCCCCACTCTGCCTTGGAAGCTCACTGGGTGATCTTGGGTCAGTTACACATTCTTGGCCTTACCTAGCTCGCAGGATTGTTGTGAGGGTAAAGTGGAGAAGAGAATGATGCAAGCTGATTTGGTTCCCCATTCTGGAGAAATGTGGGGTATAAATGAAGTAAATAAATAAGAAATATAGCTGAAGATGGGGGGCAGATAAATGGTAACTTCACTGTTGGGTGGCAAGGAGAGAAGGAAACGGGGGGAAGTGGGGATACACCAGGAAGAGGAAAAGAGGAAATTGTGTGGGGAGGGAGATACAAGGGAAAGTAAAATGCCCCCCCCCCCGCAAGTCCTTATAAGTTCCTCACCATTCAACTTGGCCTAGACCAAGAGCCAGCTCCATACAAATGGGCTATAGTTTTCCCAGGTGGAAGCTGCCAAGGAGGGAAGAATGGAAAACTAAAGCCGAGGGGGCAGATAAAGGTAAATTTGCTAGTGGATGGGAAGGAGAGATGGATGCAGGAGAGGGGGCTTTCAAGGAAGGGAAAGAGGAAATAGTAGCACACAGGGCTACCTTGGAGTCTGACTTCATCTAGAACCCACATACAACCAGTGCTCTGCCAGCTGTGCTGGCTCAGAGTCAAATACTGGATCATATTCAATGTTTTGGTTCAAACGTTCAAAGCCCTACATGGTCTGGGACCAACAGAACTTCAGGACTATCTCTCCTGGTGTGCCTCCCAGAGAGCATTGCACTCTATGAATAACAATCTTCTGGTGGGCCCTGACCAATGTTCCCTCTAAGCTGTGGAGTCTTGTGAGCAAAAATTCTACTTTGTGAACTACTGGCATTAAAGTTGTGAGCGAGCGATTTGCCTGCTGCATAAATTAGCTTGCCCTGGAGCCAAGATTCCTGAGCTGAGACAAAAATGTGTGAGCCGGAGGCTAAAAATCTGTGAACTGGCTCACACTAACTCAGCTTAGACGGAACAGTGGCCCTGACCCCAAAAGTATCAGTCTTGCCTCAACCTGAGCCAGGGTCTTGCCTCTGGCCCTGGCCTAGTGAAACACCCTTCCAGATGAGACCTGGGCCCTGAAGAATCTGATCCAGTTCCACAGGGCCTGTAAAATGGAAATGTTTCACCAGGAATACGGCTGAGGCAGCAAGGTTTCCATCCAAACTGACCTCCCCCAGCCCCCCCTCCCCACCATCCATCATGTCATTATACCAGCTTCCACTAACACACAGGTGACACAACCTCACTTAGACAAACTCTGCTATTAGTGCCATAAGTCACCATCTGATCTGATTTTATTTTCGACTTGCTGTATTGTTATGTTAATTTGGTTAAATAATTAACTTATGATATTGTTTTTTACTTGGTGTTACCCACCCTGAGCCTTGCTGTGCAGGGTGGGCTAAAATTCTAATAAATGAAATGAAATGAATGAAATGAAATAAATAAATAAGTCCTTTGGGGTTCTCTGCTTGATTTTTTCTAATTATGCAGCCTTGATATGATATACTTAAAACATTTGTTAGTTTTATATTTATATTTAATGTATCTATTTATATTTAATGTATCAATTCTTTCTTTTGGTCCTTGCCTCCAAAATGTAAACTCTAATACTTGTATTGATACTCTTTTTATTTTGCAGAAGACTGTGATTTTTGGGTTTCTTGTCTAAACTTTTTTTGCTTTGCTTTGATAGGTAGATCTGGTGAATATTGGAAGCACAGATATTGTGGATGGAAATCATAAGCTAACCCTTGGATTGATCTGGAGTATAATTCTCCACTGGCAGGTGAGAGTCTCTACTGCAATCCTGTATAAAGTTACCCTATTCTAAGTCCATTAGAATAAGTGGGTTTAGAAGGGTGTAACTCAGTTTGGGATTGTACTGAATATAATTTAAATTTAAGGAGCATTATAGAGTGTATCTCTAAAGAAACAACATTAACCACTGTCTGGTGCTTTTGTGGCAAAATTTACGCAAACCAAAAATTTGGTATCAGGTTAATATCTGAATACATAAAAGTGGGGGGGGAAAGGAAAAGAATGCTCCCTGCTCACTTTTAGTTATGGGAGACAATGTGCTTTTTATGCATTAGGTAGTAATTTCTTTGCCAAACTGAGTCTCTGAAGTGTTCCCCTTTAACCTTGTTCTTAAAAATACAATACCCCTTGAAATACCTAGGTTTTGCTAAAGACAAATACCAAGAACAGTGTTGCATTACCTGTTTTCAGCTTGTTTAGACATCTTTGAAAATGCAAAATAAAGTACTATTTAAAATGAGAAGTAGCAGCAAATTTTACTTGATACACCACTGTTCATTGTGATTATCCTCTTGTGCATTGTTAAACACTGGGTTCAAGATGCATTGCAGTGAACAGCTCTACTTTATTAAGTGATTTCAGGAACAAGACTGAAACCTCAGGGCAATAGCCCTGTTTAAATAGCATGCAAAACCCACACCCAAACACACCCAGCTCCCAAGGATAGCTATTTACATAACATTAGTCTCTCATTGATCACCTCCAGAGTCCTGGTGGGCTAGAGCTCCAAGCTCAGCCAGTCTCTGATACCCAGTCCTGGAATATTCCAGCCCTAATGCATAACGTATATTTAGATAAAGAAGAAATTGTGGCAGGCAAAGCAATTATCCCTTCTGTTTTATATTATAGCTTTGCATCACTGCACTATCTTTTTTACATCCTTTTGTGTGTGCTTTTTTGGTGCCACAGTTCACCATGTTTAAATATCCTGGTACTTACTGTAAAGTAAAAGTTGTTAAGTTTGACATGTTGGAGGAAAATTGGGCAAATATACTTGGAATACTGATGAAATTCTATTTCCTAACACAGGTCAAAAATGTAATGAAAAACATCATGGCTGGGTTGCAACAGACAAACAGCGAAAAGATCTTGCTGAGCTGGGTCCGTCAATCAACTCAGAACTATCCACAGGTCAATGTTGTTAATTTCACCAGTAGCTGGTCTGATGGCTTGGCTTTCAATGCACTCATCCATAGTCACAGGTAAGACTGTCTTGCTGATATGACCGCAAATGCTGTGTGTGTGTTTAATAATTCTGTTTCATCTTGCATCATAGAAACTAGTGTACCTTGAAAAATATATAAATCACCTAGGTTCTGTCTAGACTGATGTAGCACATAACAGTTTTTCCAGAGCTGGCCAGACTGATGGAAACTCACAAGAGGAATAGGTGGAGATAATTTTGACAATCATATTTTACTCAGTTAACTGTAAGTTCCATTTCACTATCACAGCTAATAGACACGGGTAAATGTATGCTCTGAGAAGTGGTCTCCCCCCTATAAAGTGTGGTATATTTATTTCATACATTACAGTGGAATGGTCTTCTTCCCCCCTAATATTTGTGTAAATTTGTTTAGTCTCATGTGGTGGAGTCTCTGCTTAGTTCTGTTTGTTAGCTAGAAGCATAGACTGCATGAGCTCCCTTGTTCTGAAAACAGTTGTTCTCATTCCTATATTACCTTGTTAATAAACCCAGGGCTCTAGTCGGGGGGGAGCTCTCAGGTACGGAGCTCCGGAAGAGAACCTCTAGGGGGCGGGGCGGTCACGTGGTGAAGCCCCGCCCCTTCTTTACCCCGCCCTCTGCTTCGATCCTCATTCCGTTTGGGAATGAGGATGAAGCAGGAGGGTAAGTAGCCGGGCCTTCTGACACACTTCCGGTGATGTCAGGGGGTGTGGCATATGCAAATAAGTTATGCTAATGAGTTATGCTAATGAGCTCCGGCAGCTCTTTTTCTACAACAAGACCCCTGAATAAACCTAAAAGCAGGAACCTGAATGAGTACCCTAATCCAGATTTACAAGCAAAATGGAACAGTATGAAAAGTATCCAAAGTTATGATGATTGCAATAATTTGTGGTAATGTGTTCCACAGGGGCTGCAGTAGCTCAAGTGGTTAAGACGCTGAATTGCAGACTGGAAGGTCGGTAGTTCAGCAGTTCGAGACCCGAGTGCTGCATGACGGAGTGAGCTCCTGTCTCTGGTCCCAGCTCCTGCCAACCTAGCAGTTCAAAAGCAAGAAATTGCAAGTAGATAAATAGGTACCACTTTGGTGGGAAGGTAACAGTGTTCTGTGCGCCTTGGCGTTTAGTTATGCCGGCCACATAACCATAGAAATGTCTTCAGACAGTGGAGATGAGCACCACATCCCTAGAGTTGGATTTGACTGGCTTTCGAGCAAGGGAAACCTTTACCTAATATGTTCCACAATATAATTATGCATTGCATTAAAAACTTCTTCCTTGTTGTATGTCTTGAACCTGCTGTCTGTGGATAAACTTGGCAATGTTGTCAGACAAATGTATATCTACTGGTTTTACACCATTCATAATTTTATACTGCTCTGTTATGTCTCCTGTCTCTTAAAACAAAACAAAAAGTGGGCTTTCTTAGTGATAGGTTAACTTTTTGCCTTGTTCTTGAGCATTCAGCCAGTTCAGGCCCTATTCTCACATGCAATAGATTATATAATATAATAGCATTATATGGTACACAATGTAACACTAATTTGACTACATTGCTGCAAAATTGCTATTAATTCCATGGCCAATGATGATTTTAATGTTTTAGAAAATACTTGCATACTGTGAAGTTTTCCATGCTATTTAACACATTTTGTAGAAACAACAAAAAAAAAATCCCACAGAGCTAAACAAAGTTAAATTTATTGTGAGAAAAATTATAGAAGACAGTAGTGCTTGCCTCTCTTCTCTTCTTCATCATTTTGCTAAGTGCTCCTGGAAGTTTTAACTAGTAATTGGTCTCGGAGGTGCAAAGCTATGAGAGTCAATGATCCTGCAAATTGTGTGTGTACACACATGCAAGTGTAGTTGTATGGCATCATCAAGATTTGTCAGGATGTGTTTATTTACTACTAGTTACATCCCATCCTTTTTTTTCATTCTTCTTTTTATGCTGGCACATTAAGTTGTCTTTCTGGCCCATCTGCTAGACAGTAATTTGGTTATAAATTTGAACTAATTCTCAGTTTCATACTAATGATGTTTAAAAGCTCAGTGCAGTTGCAGTTTCTTAAGTACATTTCAAATTATGACTTTCTTCCAAAACAGTATACCCATAAGAGTGTTGGATTAAGTGTTGTCCCTCAGAGGTGCAACATGTTTGATTCATTTAATTATACCAGTACTCTAGCTTCTTAATATTTCTTGGCACAGCTCATATTGTGGAAGCATATTTTAACTATTCAGGCCCCAAAGTCAGTGCCCTCAATACCACAGAGCCAATCTTCTTGTCATTATTTCCTCATTGTCACCATAATCTGTTGAGGATACTCTCTAAAAATTGTGACAGAAAGTGGGGTGTCATTTGTCCCAGCTGATCTCTACCAGTTGAAGTCTGTCACATTGTAGGGCAAGACTAGTCACTGCCCTCCCCTTCAGTTGCCACTAACACTTTGGGCAAAATCCAGCTCCCTCCCTCATGTGGTTGCCCAAAGTCACTCTCACAGGAGTGTCACTCAGTAGCATGCCAAGGAGCCAGGCAGGTGGATAAGGACTTGTACAGTTTCTCTCAAGTTAAACCCAGAATATTGCAGAGGACAGGGTCTAAGCACACTAAGGAAAATAAACAAAAGACAAATCCTAACTAAAGTACTCACAATCACTAAAGTACTCTGCACTGGTGCATCTGCAGTTTCCTTTTCTACACAGGTAATAGGGGTGCACTGTAAATAGTGGTTCACAAACTTTCCTGGATAACTGATTGGGACTATGGTCTATTCTGCTAAATATAGCTTATGGTAGTAGGATCATATTATGTACCACTTAATGTGTCATGTTAATATTTATGCTATGCTTCAGTTCTTTCTGGTGGTACCAAACTTCTAAAATCCTAATGCATTGGTTATTGAATGCTCAATTTTGTTAATTGTACTGACTTACTGATCTCCTGAGTCCCAGTGAGATAGTCAAAGTATAAATAAAATAAAAATAAAACAGCAAAATGCAATCTGGAAGTAAGATTTTATGTAACAAATGAGAGGGGATGGGCACAGCTACTATGAAGTTAAAAAGAGAAAAGAAAATCAGTGGGTGTAAAAGAATGGTATTAAATAATCCAGATTTGCTTCACAATAAAAATGTACCATGTTTTTGCTTAATTAAATACAACATCAATTTTAAGATCTTTCATTTTGGATTCAGGAGAGAACTTCCTTTACAATATGTAGAAATATCAGGTTTTAAGTATACAGGTATATCAGGTTTTAAGTATACAATCATAATCATTTCTGTTTGAATAATAAATAACTTAAATAAATCTTTATAACAACCCTCACAATTAGTTCATATGTTTCACTAATGCATACTCTACAGACTCTCTGTAGGATGTCATTATGAAACACTAGATCTTAAATAAAATCCACTATATCTTCAACAGTTTACCTCAGAAGCATGCTGTGAATTCCGAAAAACCAATTCTATGGGGATACTTGTGGGGAAATGCCATTTAGCATAGGGAATACTGTGGGGAGAATGAGAAGGAGTTGGATGACTGGCCCCTTGTTCTTGTGCCTGTAGAGGAAGCTTGGCAGAGCAAGCTTTCCACTCTTACAAGGACTGAAGCTGCTTGTGTCTATAACATTCAGCCCCCTGTGCTATGTTGTTGTTTTTTCATGAGGGCTTCCTGACTTGCAATGTTAGCTTTCGGGGTGGGGTTGCAGTAGGAAGGGGAACCTGGACATCCACTTGACCAACTCTCTTGTACAAACGATTGATAGAATCCAATTCATAGACTGTACCACAAGTATGACAGGGGTCTACATCACATGGATCCACAGCCAAATATTAGTCATGGAACAAAATGTGGCTCTCGAAATCTTTAACTTTAGCCATATTTTACCTAGATAAGTTGCTGGCAGACAAAGAGCAGGAAACTACTTTAAACATGGCAAAATTTGCCATGCAGGCGATCAAAATCCGGAGACAAGCTATTAGCTGTTAGATAATGAATATTGTACTTAAATATAGTTTTTAATTATCTAATAATATTTTAATTTTATTCCTAACATTTTAATGTTTGATATTCTGGATAGCGTCTGTATGCATTTTATTGTTTTACCGGCTGATGTCTTTTCGGTTCTTTTACATATTTGGTCAATGACCGTACTAATAAATTGTTGTTGAACTTTAGCCATAAGGAAAGAGTAGGTTGGATTTCAAAATGGGAATAGCAGGCAAACATTTTATGGGACTTAATGGATTATTAGAAATACTTTGCAAAAGGTGAAATGATAGAGATTTGAGACCAGGCATTTGAAGAATTGATAAATAATTGACTTCAGAACTATTCCTTTCAGAAAAAAACTAGGATAGACACTTTGATATACCCCCCCACCCCCAAAAAATCTTGTAATGGATAGTAGCAAAGTATCCTTTGAATACATTTGAATATATTCTCTATTGCTTTTTGAAGCAATCCGCTCCTTTTGTTATATATTATTTCTGATTCTATTCATAGAACTCCTACACAGTAACTTTAACTTTATAATTTAGGAATGCTCCCTTTCTGAACCACTTACTTTTATTACAGGCAATGAATAAACATAATGCTTAATGGTAGTCCTTCAAAAGACTGAGTCAAGTTCCCCCATGCCCTCTTTACTTTCTCTTTATATCTATGCATAGTTTGAACACACATGAAGCTGCCTTATACAGTCAGACCATTTGGTCTACCAAGGTCAGTATTGTCTTCTCAGACTGGCAGTGGCTCTTTGGAGTCTCCGGCTGAGATCTTACACATTACCTGTTGCCTAGTCCTTTTAACTGGAGATGCTGGGGATTGAACCTGGGACCTTCTGCTACAACTGAGCCATGCACCCTCCATCATTTTTTTAATGCTCTCCTTGCAGTTCACCTCATCCTTTCCAAACAGATATGTCTAGTAACAACCTTTCACTATAACATTCAAATAACACCTTCTGTAATTAATATTATTTCAGGCACAATGGTGTGGAATGTGAATTTCTGTCCTCCTTCCTCCCATGGCAGACTGAACTGCCCCCCCAAATCTTGCTACTGGAAGATATGGGACCTCAGGAACAAGACTTCAGCTGAATTTGGGGCTGCTGTAGGAGGAGGAAACTGAGAAAGTCATGTTCCACCTTGCCCCCATGGAAATACTGCACATGATCCAACCTAATATCTTGCGTTTACTTTTAACAAATACTTTCAAAACCCTCTCGGAAGAAATGTATAAATGCTCAATAACTTATAAATTCTTTAAAAGGAATGGCACTTTAGCCTCTTTTTAAAATCTTCAGTTTGTTCTCAAAATAATGAACTCCTATTCCATAGGGATAAAACACCTTAGTTGATGGAACATTGCACTTTCTAATATCGTAAAAATAAATTTAGAAGCTGTGGGTTGGTGTAACAAAAAGGAGGAAAAAAACACGCTTAACCAATTAAACTCCCATCTATGTTTTTGTTATATTGTTCTTATGTTCTCATAATCTTTTCATTAAAAGTCCTAAATTTTTGCCAAATGGATACTTGATGGCATAAATTATAAGCCTAGCCTGCTCAAGCAGCAGAATGAGGTGGTAGAATGCTGAAGTGGAAAAATGGACTGTGTCATTCAGAATGCAGGTGGGTAGAATCATGTTTTTTTAAGGTTCCTGGATGCAAAAAGTCCCTGCAAATAATTAAAAAATAGAGTATTGTGGTGAAAGCCTAGCCCTTACACGCTGTGTTAGTTTTCTGCTTACAGAAAATTACTGATGTAGATGAACTTTTAAAAATGTAATCCTTCACCTGTAGACTGAATTGGTACAGTCCATTCAAACACCTCAGCATTCTGTACAGGTAGACCAAGCAGGTAGAGAGGAGGATGGTTAATATCAGTACTTCCACTTTCAGTACACACTGCTTACACTTTCATGTACTAATCTATCCTCTTTTTTTAGTTTTCCAATTGGTTATCAGTTGTCTTTATCATATAAGAGAGTCCTTCTAAAATATGATAATATTTATACTCCCCACCCAGTCCCAGAGGGCCCGGATTGCCACCTTGGAAACAGGCACCACTTCCAGCTATTTGGTGTATGAATTGATCTAGGTCAACAGCTGTGTCACCCTCCCTTGTTTTTTCTATTCAATCCAAGTTTGACTTAGTCAGATTTACATATGAATTCCAATTCAACAGCTTCCCATTGGATTTTGGTGTTGAAATGTTTCTCTGTTTGAATGCCCTATACATTTTTTCCATATAAACATATAGTCATAAAAGCATGTAATCTTAAACAATATAATATGACCTTAAACCATACAAATTAATATTTTACGTGAAAATATATTGGAGTGCTGCCGGACCTGCCAAGAGACTCGACCAGAGCTGCCAAGGGCCCCAGTGCAACAGTGGGAATCCACCCACAAACCCTGGTCCAGATTACATCTGGATTTCCTGGGCCCCTTCCAAGGCCAAATCTTCTTCATCTTGGTAGATTCATACACCAAATATTAGAGAATCATGGATTTTGGAGACTTTTTCTCATATGCAGTTTTCCAGCACTCAACATGTCAATGTTTCCATAAAGAAGAGTATTATTGTATTAGTAACATAGTGACTCTATTATTTTTTCAGGCCAGATCTATTTGACTGGGATAATGTCGCTTGCCAACAGTCAGCCATACAGAGATTAGACCATGCATTCAACACAGCAAAACGACATTTGGGGATTGAGAAACTCCTTGATCCTGAAGGTTAGTGTAATGGGGTTCAGTTTTGTAAATGGAAAATCATCTTTTTTTCTTTCCTGCTATTGGGTTGTTGTTTTTCCTTATTGCATCAGTTTTTCCACTTCCAGATTTATGTGTGCTCCACACAGATGTTTACAGATACTTCAGTTAATTTGGCTGTTTATTCATGTAGCATATCTGTCTTCAGACTCTAATGAGCTGAACAAATTCATCTATTTTAAAATGTTTGTTCTTTATTATGCTGCAAGGTGAAATAGCATGTTTTGTTCAGAGGTGCTTAGATTTGCAGTTCTTACTCCCAACAATAGAAGCTGCAGTTCCTCAGTGCTTGATAATTATTCATGAACCCTTCCTGAAGTTTTATACAGCTTTTTAAATATGTCTAAAATTATTCAAACTAGGAATAAGCTTGGGATTTATGTCCCCCCTCCCCGTGTTCAGTCTAAATTGTTATTTGTATTTCTGATTTGTGAAGTAATTGTTTAAGCACAACAGGGAAAATATTGCTGGCATTTCTAAGGTAAATAATCATTTTATTTATAATTGACTAGCAGTAAAGCCCGTTGTGAAAGCAATACAACGGGATCTAGAAAGAGGCTCTGGGGCAGTGCTCTGGCTTTGGGCAAACAGTGTCAATTTGCTGTGGTGACCTCAGCAGGGTATAATGACAGAGTCCACTGTTTTCTCCAGAGGAACTGATCTCTGCTACCTGAAGAGCAGTTGTAATTGTGAGTAATCTGTAGCCCTCACCTGGAGATTGGCAGCAATTGTTACCCAGGACAAAATGGCTGGTTTGGAGGGTGGAGTCTATGGCAGTGTACCTGTCTGAGGTCCCACCCCTCCACAAACCCCACCCTCTCCAGGCTCCACCCCTCAAATCCCCAGGAATTTGTCAGGATGTAGTTGGCAACCCCATCTCCTTCCCAGCTAGCCACCAACCTACCATTATCTGCCCCTTTGACTTCAGCTGACTTCTGCCCTCCCTTCTGCAGAACAGTTGTAATACTGAGTGCTCTCCAGCCCTCACCTGGAGATTGGCAACAATGGTTCCCTATGTGAGACTGACTGGTTTGGAGGGTGGAGTCTATGGCAGTGTACCTGTCTGAGGTCCCACCCCTCCTCAAACCTCACCCTCTTCAGGCTCCATCCCTCAAATCTCCAGGAATTTCCCATCTGGAGTTGGCAACCCTATCAGGATTGGCCCCAATGTGTTTTCTCCCAAAGGCCAAAGTAGGTGACAGGACCAAGCTTAGTTGCCTACCAACAGGCACTGAGGGGAATGTAGGGTTGCCAGCTCTAAGGAGGGAAATACCTGGAGGTTTGGGGGGTGGATTCTGTAGAGGGCCGGGCGACGGAGGCATCGGCCTTCTGTCGCCCGCCTTGCCCCCCCAATCTCGGCCCGGGCGACCGCGGCTCCCGCCAGCG